GCCCTATCTGTCCCCAAAAAATGGTATAAAATTCATTTCAGTACAGCGTTGCATGACGGAATAAACGTCAGTCAAAGTATCGCAGCGCTGAACACTGAAAAATGGCCTGGCCAGGAAGGGGGTCTAAACACCTGGTCTTGAAGTGGTTAATATCCACCCAGTCTCCCTACCTGACAAGAACTGGAGTGGATCCTCGGCTTGGGGTCTAGTGTGAGCTGCTGTGCTGTGACTGAGCTCCAGCAATATGTGCATTGATTGTACAGCTCCCTTGCACCCCCCGTAGAGGTACCAGGAGCCAGAATATGACATCACTCCGGTCCAGGCACCTCTACAGGGCACATGTGGCACATGTGTAAGCAATGCACGTATGGATGGAGCTCCCTTTTGGCCGTACTTCCAGCCAAGCTCACCTCAAGCTGACACAAAGGGCCGAACAGCATTTTTTGAACTAGCTAACAGTGCTGTACTGGGGGAGGCTCAGGAGTCTCTCACCTAGAAAAGTGGAAGGCATGTGGCGACCCATCACAGCCAAGATAAGTGAAGCAACAATGGGCTGGTTATTAGTAAGCCCCCCCTGTATCTAAATGAAGCCGCTCAATAGTCTGAAATGAGCCCTGACCATAATAAATACAGAATTCTATATATAAAACCTCGTATAGATCACTTGAAGATCTCTGGTCACCAGAAGTAGACAGAGCACGGATCAGAACTGAGACAAAAGGTACCACTGCTCTCCCGGAACAGGAATAACTGTATCTCAGCAAGGACAGTGCATAGGTAAGACTTACACTGACTTACTGCTGTTTTATCAATGGGATCAGTGGCCGCAATGAGAAGTCTATGGAGGACATTTGTAACAACTGATTCCATTTAAACAAAACGGGGACCAAAAGCAGAAGGGGCACAGATTGGAAGGACCGAACTAAAAGGCCCCACTGCACAGTTTTCGGAGAGCCGAATCTCGGAAAGGAGGTTAAAGTGACATTAAACCCTGATTTTTTTTTACATAAACCAATACTGTAATGTGCGCCTTACTGTAATCCATGGTTGTTTCCCTTCTCTTTGCTGCTCTTCCTTTTAAATCCGTATCTCTTCTCATGCTGGGGAGAACTTCCCTTGTGCAGCTGAGTGCCTCTTCCTGTAGTGCTGGCTCAGGTTGTGAACCTTCACACAGACACCATGTAGCCATTCCAGAGACAAGGCAGTCTGCTGCAAAACAGAAGCTCTGCCCAGCACTAGAACAGATACGGATTTAAAAGGAAGAGCAGCAAAGAGAAGGGAAACTACCATGGATTACAGTAAGGCGCACATTACAGTATTGGTTTATGTTAAAAAATCTGAGGGTTTAATGTCACTTTAAGTTTAAACAGGTCACATGAACATCCCGCCGTCCTATTTATAGAAAATCCCCGGAGCTCTCCTTTAAATACGCCATCTATGAACGAATACAAAGGTCAGGTCAAATCACAATGCATTCCAGAAACATCTGCCGGCTCTAAGATGCACAGAACACTTCCTCCCGTATACAAGGAAAACCTTCACAAGGAGAGTGACTACACAGAAGAGTCCCGCGGATAAATCCTGTGACCTGACGGGGCCCTGGTCATACGTTGCACCACGTGCTCTTTTGCAATGTTTATCTCGTGCATGTCGCAGGTGGGAAACCCTGCTGGAACCACAAAGGAAAAGGATCTGTGATAGCCGGGAAGATAAAAGGCGCTCACACATGAAGGTGCAGAACTTGGCACACAAACCTGGCAGGGGCTACATCTAACATACAGCCATTGCCATGTAGGCATGACTCGCATCATAAATGTCAGACTAACGCAGACAAATCGGCCTTCTAATGGAACCATTCACCAGAAACTATTCACCCTTTTCAAGAACTGAAAATCACAATGTCAGAGATGTGATACACACATCTTAAAGTGATCCATACGTGGCTTTGTATACATTTATTTCTTATGGTAAAGGCTAAAAAGGAAAGAAAAAAAAAGTCGGGCTCATTCACCATTGCGTGTCTTCCTTTAGGTACGATGCAGTATTGCGACGGGTCACCTGCACTCCATACAGCATTCGGACCTGTTCCATTAACAGTCGTGGTACTCGTAGTGCCAACACGGATGACGCCGTGGTTCCCAGAGTTATGAAGAATGAAGATCACCAGCACTCAACTTGAAAGTGTGGAGTATTTCTGCTTTTATTGAAGTGACATATCACAAGTGTCCTTCAGCCAATGTTTAAGGCCACGCAGGGCCCCCTTCCTCAGGGCTATATAGTGCCACTGGTGTCAGAAATACTTCACGCTTTCAAATTGAGTGCTCGTGATCTTCAATTTCCATTCCTTCAGACACGAGGGGCCGTCCTTCAGACACGAGGGGCCGGAGTGCAATTTATCAAAACTGGAGCAGACAAAATCAGAAAGCAGTCACCCACGGCAACCAATCAGCTTCTCTCTTTAGTTTGTTCAGTTAAGCTTTGAAAAGGAAAGAACAGCTGATTGGTTACTATGAGCAATTGCTCCAGATTCTGCTGCAGTTTTGGTAAATTCCCCCCCAAGGCGCCGTCATTCCGATTGTATTCTGTACTGCGCCGCTGTATAATGTACTATATTGCACACTACACTCTTTTTTTACTTCCACCTTGCCAAGCTTGCTCCCGTGATGGACTACAATCTCAAAAGAAACTAGTAGTCCATCACTGGAGCCTTTTTTTTTTTAATCCGATTAATCGAACTTAATAATCGGCTAACTAATCGATTATGAAAATAATCGTTAGCTGCAGCCCTACTTGGAATATGCCCAATGTGCCATCAGGGAAGAAAAAATCAATTGCTGGAAAAGCCTGGTCCATTCAGTATAGCCTATATAAAATATATTTATTGTTTTGCCATGGCATACCCTTTACGATGGAAAACCTGATCAGAGTTCTATTTTTTCTTTGGGGAAGGCTAGAAGAGTACAATAATGGTACCGCAGTACTGTCAGCCATTAACTGACAGCTGCCTTCCAGGCTAAGGATCCCAGAAACCATTGGAGGAGGTGCAAGTTATCCATGAGGCTCTTACTTTCTGCACTACTTTCACTTGCAACTTTATGAAGTTTTCTTTTAAAGTGACACTAAACTCCTGAGTTAAATCTTAGAAATGCATTCATGTACCTTAACAATTAACAAAAATGTATCTTATTTGTCTATCACTCGGCTGTAGATCCTCAAATCATCTCGGAATTGGTGCTGACACTGTCCTTCCTTCTAAAGGGGGGCTACTTTTGTTCCCCATGGTCCCTGTGTGTGTTGTAATGTAGTCACCGCTCCAAGCTCGCTCCTGTGATGGACTCCAATCCCAATACAAATTGGTAAACTAAACGTGAGATTGTAGTCCATCACGGGAGTGAGCTTGGAGCGGTGACCACTTTACAACACACACAGGGACCATTGGGGAACAAAAGTAGCCCCCCTCAAGAAGGAAGGACAGTGTCGGCACCAATTCAGAGATGATTGGAGGATCTACAGCCGAGTGATACACAAATAAGATACAATTTTGTTAAAAGTTCAGGTATTTGAATGTATTTTTAGGATTTTATTCCTGAATTTAGAGTGACTTTAAGTGGGCACTCGACTTAACTGTTGAAGTGAACTTACGCTCTAATCACAATGTTATAAGAACATTTTCAGCAAAGGCGGAATACTACCAGGCCAAAAGGACGCACAGATTTTCTAGCGCAAAACAAAAACCCTACACCCAAAAAAAAAATGATCTGCCTACGAAACATTTGGTTCTTGAACACATATCTGGCCATCCTTGGAGCCTATGGACACCGTCACTGATGAGGAGCCAAGAATCCGAGCATGCAGGACCAGTTTCTGGAAAGAGAAGGAAACGCAAACAGTCCAGACGAACCTGTGGTACTTTGTGGTCCTTCTAGGTTGACGTTGACGAAGAATCGGATGCTCTCTCCAGACACTATGGAGGAATGTACGGTATCGAACAGCTCTTCTCCTCCACCCCCTTCCTCTTCTTTGGGGTCACAGCCGTCATCAGTGTCACATTTAAGGTAACCTGAAAATCAAGCACAAATGTTAGACAGAAGAAGATGATCAAGGTGCTGACAGTCTCATATATAAAAGGAGGACCCAAACAGCAAGTAAAACTAAATACAACACATAAAAGGTTAAATATTCTTTCTTAAAGGTTTCTGGTCTTCTGTATTGGAAGTCCGATGAGAAGTATGATAACACAGCTCTAAGGGAGTCTTATTCATTTATGTTACTGTATGAACTCATATTTGTCTCTACAAGCAAAAAGCAAGTGTGCTTCAACGGATCAGGAAAGATGGGCAAATGCCTATTTATTTAAGGTATTCAGAAATGTTTTGGAAAAAGAAAATTTGAAGCAAACAATCTTAAAAATGTTCTCATAGGTAGCAGCTGCCTGACGATTCAGGTTTCTTTATCAGCACCTCAGGAATTCAAATCCTTAGTCATCCTAGCATGAAAATGTTGGCCAGGTCACGTGGTTTATTGCCTACTCTGCATCCACCCTCTCCCATTAGCTTTTCACTATGGTGTGTGACCTCAATGGCCAACTGTGAGGTGCAGGAGAGGGGACCAAACTCTTGACCAGTGAAGCATGTTTAAAATTTGCCTACCAGACAGAGACGCCAGGGATCCCGAGACATCAGGAAACTCACATGGTCACATGCAGGCACCTGGAGGATTCTGCTATGCAGGACTGGTGGCCCTCAAGAAACTTGTTCATGACTTCAAGAACACTTTAACCCCAAACTCTTGTATGCTATGCACATAAACAATACAATGGGGTTGTGGAAGAGTTTGGAATTTTCTGAGCTGTCAGAGATGCTACAGTAACAAGCATGGAGGAATACAAGATAAATGTGGATAGAGAAAAAGACAAATATTTTAGAAGAACATACATATGTAGACTTCCACTATTTAGCGGTTTGCATGAAGCCCCACTTTTAAGAGCAATAAAAATAACGAAACCCAAATAAGATTCTAGCCTATTTCCCATAACCGTCTCCTAATATGTCAAAATCATCCCTCACATAACCCGACAGCTTCTCCGGGCTCCTTACAGCTCCAGGGCCAGTGCAACATTCAGCACTATGCAAGATGTCTGTTTAGGAAGTTCTGATTGAGGCAGAGGTGGCCGATCAGTATATTATCCTGCACACCGATTCCTCCGAGGTTAGGAACTTGGGATTGGAGCCAGAAGAAGTCCACAGCTCTGTTCATGGTGGTATGAAAAGGGTGATTTTTACAGCTCAACTCACGGGTTGGTGAGGATGGTAAACCAAGTCTTCGTTATTATTATTATTATACAGGATTTATATAGCGCCAACAGTTTGCACAGCGCTGTACAATATAAGGAAGACATTACAATTGCAATACAATTCAAGACGGTAAGAAGGGCCCTGCCCCTGAGGGCTTGCAATCTAAAACGGAGGGGGAAGTGATACATGAGAAGGTAGCTGTGTGGGGATGAATTGTTTGAGAACATGATGGTTAGGTTGAGGTGGGATAGGCTTCCCTGAAGAGGAGTCTTAAGGGATCACCTAAAGGCAGTCAGAGTGGGAAATAGACGGACAGGTTGGGGTAAAGCGTTCCAGAGGATGGGACAGACTCTAGTGAAGTCCTGGAGGCGAGCATAGGAGGATTTGACAAGGGAGCTGGAAAGCAGAAGGTCTTTTGAAGAGCGGAAGGGACGGTTAGGTTGATACTTTGAGACAAGGTTTGAGATATATCTGGGGGCAGAGTTGTGGATGGCTTTGCTGGACTTTCTTCAGCTGCATTCATGATAGACTGAAGGGGGGAGGAGCCTGTGCAGAGGTAAGCCAATGAGGGAGTTGCAATAGTCAAGATGAGAGATAACGAGGGCGTGGATGAGTAGTTTTGAGGTTTCATTAGTGAGGAAGGGGCTAAGCCCACTTTAGGAGTAAATGAGGAAAGCATATCCCTGAGGCTTGGATCCAATAGAGACATTACAAAGCTGTGAGTTCAATACTGAATTACAAGTACACTTTATTACACAAAAACAAAGTTGCTCAATGTCTTCTCAATATTCCAACGAAGAACGATACGGCTCACGGAACTGAGATTTAATCGGTGGAATAATAGGCCAACAGCTTTCATTTTAAGGGCCAAAACCCATACATTAAGCTGCAACAAAAAACTATTTTCCAGAAAACAAAACACTCTGATAATTGTGAAATGGTCCCAAGGGTTGTGGCGAGTGTGTGTCGCTATGCGCTCCACACACACACACGCCGGGATCGGCTCATTGGCTAACCTGGAGGCACTGCAGATATCACAAACATTACACTATTGTTGTCATAATGCCGTCCTCGAAAAAGCAATGCTCGTTAATCCAACTGTTTGTTTAGCTCATCAAGATATGGCTGTCTGCCAAGTGGCGGAAAATACACACCGAGCAAAGGAACTTAACCCCTGTGAGGGCGCAATCCCAAACAGTCAAGACGCCAATAAATCACAAAAAGGGCCAACGACAAAAGGGGGTCATTGGACATGCAGTACAGCCACAATCCAACCAGGTTTAGGCTGCATTCACACATAGCGTTTGCAGTTCCCGCACGTTTTTCCGTGCGGAAGACCGTGCAGGACGAAAACGTTAATGTTTTTTAATCCTCACGGATGCCGCTCTTTTGTGGCTACTAAATAGCCGCGAACGTGTGGAATCTGACGGATTATCGCGCTTGCACTATTTCGGGGCATCACTTGTTCTGCCCAATGAAGGGGATCCTGCTAGACCCCGAAACGTCGCATTGAGTGCATCACGTTATGCTGATCATACTTCAATAAAAAAACGTATTTGACTTGCTATTGGAATGCTGGCGTCTATATATTTTGTTTGCACTATTTCGGGGGCCGCACATTTTTGACCCCCCAATGGTGTGGACGATACACATTGAAGTGCATTGTTTTTTGTGTTTAGAGCAGCTCTGCGCGTATCTGTACAGCCGAATACGCACAGAGAGCCGCTCAGGTGTGAATAGAGCCTTAGGATTCCATGCTGGCCGGCTCTTCCCCAAGCACTCCAAGTTTTCATTTCAAGCCTATGGAGAGAGGTGCATTATAGACGACATTGAGAATCTAAATGTCATCTTAAAAGGAGAACTATGAGGTGAATGCTTTTCACTCACCTCATAGTTCTAGCCGACCTGTGACAATGAGACTGTCACAGGTCGGCTCAGTAGATCGGGAGGTGAGCGAACACATACCGGCGTTCGCTCACCTCTCGATCCTGTCACGGCTCTCGGCCGTGACAGGGGAGGGGCTGGATTCCCCCTGCTCCGATCTGCCAGCGCTGACTGGCGGAATGGACAGGGAAGGGCGGGTACAGCTGGCTCTGCCTCTAGATAGGTCTACAGCTGGCTCTGTTGTTCTGTTGTACAGAACTACTATATATTGTGTGTATAGCCTCTAGTGATCCCCTCCTACTACTTGATTACGCTAATGGTGGAAGAAACTGTAATGCAATTGTATGTTATACTGATTGTGCATCATGTGCTATTTTATTGTCTTATTGTAATTTGGAAAATTAATAAAATACTCAAGAGTTAGATAGGCAGAGCCAGCTGTCAGTCACGCAGCTGGGCGGATCCCGGCACAATTGTCGGGATCCGCTTCAGCTGCGACGTCTTAGTATACCGCGAGCAGCAGCTCGGGGTATACCGAGCCTAGGGTGAAGGGATGATGCTAGTTTGTGTCCTCCTGTTACCCTAACAAGAACTACGGGGAAAAGCCTTAACCCCATAGTTCTCCTTTAAAGCATTAGTTAGAACTGATCTGAGGTGTGAAGGTGCATGAATTGGGACTCATCTAAAGTCAGATTCTGCAGGAATTCGGGCTGAAATGAATGAGTTTAACTTGCCATAAGCAGTGCAACTATGAATGCAAAAATTTAAAACAAAACAAAATGACTATGGTGCGCGGTTGTTCACTGGCACGCCGGTTGTTCAATGCTTGTAAATTGTTAATGTGGAAAAGGTTGCCGGCCCCTGTCTTAAAGTATATACAACGTCAATAAAAGAAAAGCACTGGAAAGTTTTTTTTTCTTTTTGTTTTTTTTATAGCCTACAAAAGGTCTAATTAAATTTATTTTCTTAAATAAATAACTTTTTACATGCATTTCATTCTGTGGTCAATTCCATGCCTATCCAGTCTCCAGACCAGGGGTTCTCACACTTTCTAAGCAAAGGGTCAGTTTAGTGTCCTTCAGATCTTAGGGGGGCTGGGCTATAGCCAATAAGAGAATAAGAGTAGAAAACACACAGGCGTCTTTGGGAGTGAACAATGCTATGTGGTTGGTGAGCTGTGGGAGTGTGTTGGTTTCAGTGGAAGGAATAGTGCCCCATTGTTTGTATCAGTGAGGGAAATAGTGCCCCATCATTCATGTAAGTGGAAGAACAGTGCTCCATTGTTAGGGTCAATTAAAGAATAAGTGCTCCATGACTGGTGCAAGTAGAAGAAATGGTGCACCATCATTGGTGTCTGTAGATTGCGCCTTAAACACCAGTAAGATCAGAAACAGCCTATCCATTCTCTAGAGACCGGTGACAATCACTGAGAACGAAGCCTATTCATTCACTAGAGACCGGTGACATCACTGAGAATGGGGGTCTCTCCATTCCCTGGAAACCAGTGACATCGCTGAGAATGTAGCCTATCAATTGACTAGACACCGTTGGCATCACTGAGAATGCAGTCTATCCATTCACTAGAAACCGGTGGCATCACTGAGAATGTAGACTATCCATTCACTAGAGACCGGGGGACATCACTGATAATGCAGCCTATCCATTCACTAGAAACCGGTGATATCACTGAGAATGTATCCTATCCATTCACTAGAGACCGGTGACATCACTGATAATGCAGCCTATCCATTCTCTAGAGACCGGTGACAATCACTGAGAACGAAGCCTATTCATTCACTAGAGATCGGTGACATCACTGAGAATGGAGTCTCTCCATTCCCTGGAAACCAGTGACATCGCTGAGAATGTAGCCTATCAATTG